ATGACGACTTAGTGTGTCGTTAACTAGTCCATCTCAAGAATGACATCAAACTCCGACATGTCTATGACTCTAAGGTCCACGGTGAGTAGAATCCCCGAGATTCCTTGAACTCAACCCATGCCCTGGCCCATCTATCCTAATTGCGGAGTCCCAGCACGTGAAGTAGTAGGGGTTTGTGCAGTACTCTAGAACTGATATTGGCTTTCTTAGCCCATAGTGGGGTAGGAAGGAATGAAATAAGTTTGTGTATGCCCCACCGATGACTAGGACTGAGATGCCCCATAGTTCTGGGATCTCTGCCTCTAAGGACAATCCCGCTTTATATGATCCGGCTGGTGGCATATGTAACAAGTCCTCTGGCTTGCTTGATAGGCAGTCCTAAAGCTTCTCCCGCCTTGGGAGGATTGACCTTGATCTTGGTAGCCGCGACCCTATCCTTGTTGTCCTTGAGGAGTAAAAGTCTTTTCCTTCTTCCTTGAACTCGAAGAAGAGGAATGACCCTTCTTCTTCTTGTTCTTAGCACCCGCCTCCCAGATGTTTCGTGCATCATCTACCTCTCTCTTAATGACTATAGATGTCTCGACCATGGAGTCCAAATCTTGTAGACGGTGGCCCATAATTTTCTCTTAGATGGATAATTTCAAATCATCCTCAAACCTCCTTACTTTGGCCATGTCTGTGGCCACGTAATCATTAGAGAAACGGGCTAACTCAGTGAACTTAGTCACGTACTCCATCACCGTTATAGTCCCTTGCTTCAAATCCAATAATTCTCGGGCTTTTGCGTGTCAAACAACTGATGGAAAGCACTTGCCCATGAAGAGCTTCTAAAACTCTCCCCATGTCATTGCCTCTAAGTTCTTCGAGGTCTTTGCCCAATCCCACTACAAACAGACTTCTCCTTCTAGCTGGAATGTAGCTAGCCTTATCTTAGTGGCATCGGAGGTCATCTCCATAGCTTCTAAGATTTTGTTGATTTGTTGGAACCAATAGTCGGCCATCATCGGATTCGCCCCTCTCATAAAAGTCAGAGGCTTGTGTGCCTTGAACTTTTGGAGGTTACTTGAGCCTCTTTGCTCTATAGTGGCACTAGCCTGTGCAAAGATAGCTATCATGGTGCCTATAGCCTCTATAAAGGCTTGTTGGTCAAAAGCCGGTGGTGGTTGGTTGTTGTTTTGCCCACCTCCCTTGCCGTTTCGATTTTTTCTCCCTCTATTTTCCATCTACACACAAGTCAAATAGCAATAGAGTACTAACTTAATATCCCAAAGTAGGGATCAAAGTTAAAACATTGAGATTCCTTTCCTTATCTCACTAGTAGAGTGTGTGCCATCACTAGTAGATTTTTATACCCTGAACTGTCTTGTTCCTTTGTTTTCTGACCCCTAAGGTTATGCTCTCTAACCTTAGTGTCTCTTTTTCATATACATTTTACCATGCATATAATTCACATAACATATAACACATAACATATAGCATTTAAAATACATAACTTGTAATGCACAAGGCATGCAATAGTCTAAACCCATGCCCCGTAAATCCTAGATAAATCGTATAACCTAAACTCTGATATCAAGGTGTGACACCCCTAAAATCAGGGGTCCTTTATCAACCATTGACCACCCGTCAACTTGCAAAAGTACCCGTGACTGTCGCACCACCCGACATCATGTCAATAGCATCCCCTTAACTAGGACCATACCCACACATCCATGGTCTTTTTCACATTAGTTTTTCTTCATTTATATCCCATAGAACAATCTTTAAGCAAGAGGAAACAATGCCCAAGAGCTTAGTGAAACATTTCAAAATTTTGAAGTTTTACTAGAACCTACCGGTAGAAGTTGTACACTGGATTCCTGTTTTTAGAAAATCTGTGAAAACCTACCGGTAGAAGATGTGCAAGTCCTACCGGTAGAAAATGCCACTTAGAATATTTTATCACAAAGAAAATGATGTTCTACCGGTAGATATGCCTATTGGACCACATCTACCAGTAAAAGAGCTCCACCTCCTACCGGTAGGTGTGCCCAAATCTGCCTATTTCAACTGTTTTCAATTTTCAATCCACTCCAATCCATTCCATATCAGTCCAACACATGTATAATGAAGTTTTTCATATAAAATATGGTCCATAAAAATTTTATTACAATCATTTCCATAGTTTTATATGCCCAAAATCAAATCTCAATGTTTTACAAATATAGTTTTAAAGCCACAAGTCGACTTTTCTTCATCCTTGACGCCCCGACCCAAGTGAAAGCCTTCCACCGGCATATAGCCCGCACTTGAAATGCTTTCTCACAAAGGGTGAGATACGCTCAATCGAGTATCTCCTAAAGAGACTACTCCCCAACGTAGATGCATATAAAATGTTCACATGCACAATTCAACAAACCACAAATCATTCCAATCAAGAACATGCATCTCCATGATAGGAATCACTATGTCATGCTATGAAATGAAATGATACTCACTCATACATATCAACTTGAACCTTTACCGGCTCCCTCAACACATGCAATGTCATGCGTGCAATCCGGACATTCCAAGCCCCAGCCATTGATATTACACATCCAATGACTATTAAATTTTATGATTCTTTATTGGGGTGGGTATTCATGGACTTCCACCAATGGTCACTCAACCAACACAACATTTATGGACTTCCACCAATGGCCTTGCATACGCTGACATGCTTTATAGATTCGATACCAACGGAGCGCATATCCGAAGCAACCGGGTCTTGCATCCGAGAGATTTTCTAGCCCTTCATGCTAACCCCAACCCATTTTATAATACAAACCATGCGACTCAATTGAATCTTTGATCCAAATTTTCTGAGGCCACCCATCATCCACCAAGTGTGTTATTTGATGAAAATCATGCACATACACCTACATAATGTGATGTCTCCATGCATATACAATGTAGTGTACAATTACAATCTCAATCTCATGTTCAATATACTATGAATGTCATATGAACCAATTCAACCACATTGTCAACATATACCATGGCTAATTATATCCAAAGCATATAATTTTTATAAATACTCATAATGTCAATATATCAACTAGTATATATCAACATTTATATTCAACAACAATTTTCCAAGTATGTTATACATAATCTATGCAAAACACACTTAATTGCACATAGGCATTTAAATCAAATACCTGCAAAGCACCAAATCATGTAATCACATAAAATGTCCAATTTTATCACAAGTCTCAAGAAATCACATTAAGTAATTTCTACACACCCAATTAAGATAGAATTTATTCTACCCATTTTTAATACTCATTTCATCAATTTACAACAATAGGCAAGTGTTAAATGTATCTAACAACCTACCCATCTCATATAATCACCCTAGGTTGGAAATAAACCTAATTAGGATGAAAACCATACCTCTTGAAGCATAAAATAATCGTAACAAGCTCTAATCCAAGTTTTTTTCAAAATCTTTTTTTTGAAACTTTGGTGAAATACGTCCCTTTTAGTATGTTCGCATAGCCTACGATAAAGAGATCGACTTTAATTATTGGCTCGTGTTGATTCGAGCGACGGGGAGGCGTAGATCGTATAGAGAAGGTTGGAATTCTCTCTTTTTCCCTCTCTTCCCTCTCCAACGTGAAGACCCAGCTGAAAATGGGGAAAAAAATCAGATTTTTCCCCCTATTTATACCCTTTAAATGCTTGGTCCACGTTGCGCCACACATCTTCCATTCCCGGGTCTGTTTTCGACCTAAAACGATTAAATTTCGTCCCGGTTCAAGTTTAAAATATTTTTATTTCAACTAACTTTAAATTATTATCTAATTTTTAACATTTTATTCCCGAATTCGTTTATGAGGTCACTCAACACCCAGTCACCTCGTGAAACGTAAAAATTTTGATGGTCTTTGAATTCGACAAAAATTGACAAGGCAACTAGATTTCATGAGATGAATCCAATTGTGAGATCTGTTTCGTCATCTGAGTTCTAGAAAAATTTGAGTTTTAAACCCTACCGAAATAACAAATTATCGTTTTACCCTTTTTCATAAAAATTCAAATTCACCCAGGTTTTACATCCACATTCCAAAATTCTTCATGTTATAGCCTCAAAAAGGATTATTGATATGTCTTAATGGTTGAATTATGTGAAAATTTGTACTAGTTGTCAAAAGGAAAAAATTGTCGCCTTCCTTTTTCTCTAAATAATAATATTGAATCTATTCTGCTGGCAAAGATTCACTTTGATTTGTGGGGAGCCGCACCTATAGTCTCTGTGCAACATTTTAAGTATTTTGTTCTCTTTATTGATGATTGCACTCGCTTTACATGACTATACCCTCTAAAAAAGAAAGTTGTCTTCTTCAACATATTTTTTGACATTTCAAAGTTTGATAGAAAATCAATTCGAGCGAAAAATCAAAAAATCAAAAACTTTCAATGTAATGGTGGTGGTGAGTTTTCATTAACAGATTTCTTGGCACATTTGGTTGACCTTGGGATTCAACGACAACTTTCATGCCTTGGCACACTAGAACAAAATGGAGTGACCAAGCACAAACATCTTCACGTTGTTGAAACTGGACTTACCACGCTTTTTCATGCTAATCATCCAAAGCATTTATGGATTGAAGCTTTTATAACTGGAGTCTATCTTATTAATCGACTCTCATCATCTACTCTTAAAATGAAGACTCTGTTTTATACATTATATAGTTGTCATCTAGACTACACTTCCTAAAAGTCTTTGGTTGTTAGTGTTTTTCATATATATGACACTATGCCAAGAATAAGTTTGAACCAAAGTCGTATCCGTGTGTATTTCTTGGATACAACTCTTCCCATAAGGGTTATCGTTGCCTTCATCCTCTTTCTATAAGATTTTTTTTTGTCTCGTCATGTAGTGTTTGATGAATTGGTTTTTTCCATTTTCTGATCCAGTTTATTATTTTCCACCTCTTCAAATAGTGGAAATATCTTTACTTATTCTGAGTTTTCAGATGGATTTTATCCTGCATAGGCAGCCACTCCACCCCCTACATTTTCCCTCTTTAGGAGTCTCTAGCACACCACATGAAATCTTAATTGAAGCTCCCTTGCCATATGACCTGTGTCTTCTTCCAGATTCGCCACTTGTTGCACCAAATTCTGTATTTTGCCCAGCTGTCCAAGCACCACCTGATCTAACCAATGGAGATCCATCGACAATGGTGCCTTGCAATGTTAACAATCATATCAGCAGCCCACTGTTTGGTACACACAATTATGCTTCACTTGGGAAATCCACATCTGCCACCACAAGTCCTCATGTTCTAGAGTACTTATTAGACTCCATGTCACTTAAGTCTTCCACTTCATCGCTGGCAAAAGTACTAGGGACTATCCATATTGATCTTCCCTTTGATCATATACTGTCCACTTTCTAGCCTAGAAGCTCCTCCATTTTGACTAATATTCATCCAATGATTTTAAGAGGGAAAGCTCATGCTCATCAATCACTTTTCACTCTTCTTCCCATTGATCCTGTAGAATCCAAGAGTCTAAAATCAGCACTTCAATGTCCCCATTGGATGGAAGCAATGCATGATGAACTTGCAGCATTTCATCATAATAAAACTCGGACTTTGGTTCCTCATCAACCTCACATGCACATTATTGGATCTCGTTGGGTTTTTAAAACCAAATTAAAATTCAACAGATTCATTAAACGCTTTAAAGCTTGATTAGTTGCTAAAGGATACAATAAGTTAGCTAGTATTGATTTTGATAAAACCTGTAGTCCTATCATCAAACATCCAACTATTTAGCTAGGTTTTGTCTATTGCTCTATCACAAAGGTGGCCTATTCGTCAACTTGACGAAAAAAAATATCATTCTCCATGGTCAACTCAAAGAGGTCGTTTATATAGACCAAGCCCCGAGCTTTGATGATTTTAACTATCCTCATCATGTTTGTTGTCTTCACAAGGCTCTTTATGGCCTCAAACAAACTCTTCGAGCTTGGTTTGATCACTTTAACATTTTTCTTCTTCAAATGGGTTTTATCTGTAGCAAGGTGAACTCATCTCTCTTTATTTTCAGAGCTACTGATATTATTATTCTTTTATTGGTGTATGTTCATGACATTATTGTCACCTATGGGGAGGGGGAGAATTCAATGTGCATGGTTAAGAGAGGGATATTTGGTGGCGGTTGGATGAATCTATTTGAGACACTCAAATAGACTTATTAAAGTTTTTTCTATTTTATATTATAAAATTATAAAATTATATTTATTATCTATAATCTATAATATAAAAAGAGTTATATTATCACATAGGTTTTAATAAGCTCTTCTGAGTATCTCAAATAAACTCATTCAACGATCATCAACATCTTCTCCAAACCATTCACATTAAATTTCTCCCCCCACCCGCCTAAAATCAAGAAAATATTTATTACAATAGTAATGTCATATGACAATGTGATATAATATCATAAACCAATAATAAAATCTTAAATAAGCAAATGGACCCCATAAAAATTAATAAGTAAATAATTTCTCACTCTTCCTCCATGTAAATCAAAGTGAGTTTAACACACTTAGGACTTTTTTAGTATGTTTTTTGGGAGGGGTTTGAATTAGCTTGTCCAAATCTGGGTTTGACCCAAAGATGAGATTCAACATTCAATGCTGTCCATACTCATATCTGGTATGCGCAGGGATATTATGATAATATATTTATATTTAAATGACTATTGTGTCCCTTAACCAATTTATGTATTTGGAATATATAAGATATATGGGATATAAATACATTTATATGTTAAACTCATTAACTCACATATGAAACTTATTCCTTTGGGTTTCGTAAAATCCACGTATGTGGGTTTTATGATCGGGCCGGGTTTTAAACCTTGGACTAAATGTATAATTGCCAAAGATGGGTTTAAGGGGGTTTAATCCATAACTCAGAATCTAAAACTCTCCAAACCGTACATGTCAAACATGTCCTTAGGATTTTATTATTGGTTGATGATAATATCACCATTACATTCTAAAATTTATCAGTTGTCACTTATATTGCACACCCTTAATAAATTTAATAAGACAGAAGGTATGATTCCACAAAAAAAAAAATTAACTGAAATTTGAATCAAATTGTGAATCCTGAATGAGATAAGTCATAAGGCTTGGCAAAGATTTGAATTTCATGTTACAAAACACAACCACCGAACACAGATCATATCAAACACTAGCAAAATGCCTCGTCTTCCTCAATGTCCAGGCCAATGCCTTCTCTAACACGCCCGCAAAACCTGGTCCTGTGTCCTTTGTGTCCTTGCTCTAATGGTTCTTCTTCAAGCTTCCAAGCTCAATCTCCCCCTATCTTCTCTCTCCTCCCCCCAAATCACCTCTATCCTCTTTGACCCACCCTCTCTCTCTCTAGCTCTCAAGCACTCTGACTCCTCTTTCTCTCTCTACCCCTCCTTTTCTCCCTTCTCCCTTTCCACCCCTTGTCTACCCTCTCCCCAGACCCATATTCCCCCTCCCACCTCCTCGGCCACCTTCCTTCACCTTCGAAACGATAACCCTAATTCCCCTTCTCGCCATCTCTTCCTTACCTCCTCCCCTCTCTCTGGTGGCTCTGCCGTGCTTATCTGCTTCTATATGCTCCAGAAAAACCACAACTCTTTCACCAAAGCTAAAATTATTTGTAATCATAGTGATCTTAAATATGATGATAAGAAATTCGGGGTTGTTTTCGGTGTGAATCACGGGGTTTCGATTATGTTGGTTGGGTCGATTAACGTTTTTGCGATGTATTCGGCTTCAAATAGTAAAATTTGGGTGTTTTCGGTCAAAATCATGGATAATGAGGAGGATGGGGTGAATATGAAGTTGATCAAGTGTGCTCTGATTGATTGTACCGTGCCGGTATTTTCGATTAGTATTTCGTTTGGGTTCTTGGTTTTGGGGGAAGTCAATGGGGTCAGGGTTTTTCCGTTAAGGCCCCTCGTGAAAGGAAAGGTTAAAAAAACTAGGCGAGTGTGTAAGAATTTTAATGTTGGATTGGATACTGGGGAGTTCGATGGACAGAGATTGAATTTGCCCAATGGGGTAGCTCGGGAAGTCAATGGAAGTGATGAATTTGATAACAATTCAAAGGATTGCACAAATTGTGGAGTTGTTGGTCGTGGTACCAGAAGTATTGCTCCTGAAGGGACTGTTGAGGTTTCTTCTAATGGCCACCGGGAAAAAAAGATAGACAAGCAAGGTAAGTTTGTGAGACACGTGTGGATTGTCTTGCTGTAGTTATTTTGTTTGCAACAAGTTAGGAGTTTGGCATTGGTTTATGTGGAAGTTCTTCTTTAACCATTTGTGTACTAGGTGTAGTTTCAAAAAATTTTGGATGAGATTCTTGCAATGTCATGTCTTCAAACTTACATCTGTGTTGTTGAATTGTTTTTATCTATCAATTACCATTACTGTTCTTTGTTCGCTCCGTTCACTAAATCTTATTGCCAAAAGAGCACATGGCTTCTACCGAAGTATGGGCTGCTGTTTAGTTGTAACTAGCTTTCTCAGTTTTGTATTGCCTTGTTAGAACCTACTCTGCCTTGTTAATAGGGCAACGCATCCCAAGTATCAAACCTCATGTGTTTACTGCTTTCCAGGCGTTCATTTATGTTTTAAAATTACTTTGGGTATCTAATGCTATGAGTTTCTTGTTAGACCAATAGTTTCACTATTTTTCACTTTTTTCCCTGCAAAAGACGTAGTCTGATAAATATTCCTACCACTATTTGGAGATGAACTCAAGGCAAAATCAAATGAAGGCCAAAAACTTGCATAAACGAGATGAATGAAAGAAAATAGAAAACAAGAAAAGATAATGGTCTAAGGTGGAGGATAGAGAAAGAGGAACAAAAAGGAATTAAATTAAGCTTAACGTTGTGATTACTATTATGGTCCTTTCTTACATTGCCTAGTAAGAGTGACCACTGACCTTCATAACATAAATAAATACTTATATAGTCGGGTGCACTCTTAAGGTAATAGCGTATGGCATGAGGATGGGCTTCGGTTATGCGCCCACACTTTGGCCATTATTACAGGATATGATTCTTCCTATATGAAAGTTATACCTGATGTAGTTTGGTAAATAATCTGACAACTGCGGCTGAAGATAAATAAAAAAACTCGTATTGAGGTTGAAAATTTGGGCAAAATCTGATTTTTGCTTAGAAAGCTTAAAATTCCATGACGGATTGAGCAACAAGGTATGCCGCTCAGAATTACCAAGCAAATGAAGCAGAATGAGAGGAACAAAAGGATTGTATACTTTTCTTTGACAATGAAGAATTCCATGTTGATGAATTAAAAAGAACTTCGCGGAGCTTGCTTATGCAGACATCTAAGAGGGATCAATAGCCTTGGGGACTATATATATAGCCTTAATATAATGAGTGGCAGCTTTAATGTAGATTCATCATCATCTCAATAAGATTGAGGTACAATTGTGCCCTGGAGTCTCTTGATCTTCACATCGTATGCTATTTCTCAATTGAACCATTTAGCTCAGCCATGAAACCAAGTACTGCCTCGCAATTGGTTACTCTTTAGTCCCTCTATCCATTGTATGAAGTCTGTCAAAACTATTTTTAAGAGCTTCCACCCTTAATGATCACCTTAAGTTCTGGCTTTTTAGTGGATATTGAGCAAAATGTGGAGGTACATTGCTGATCATGGTTCATGGTTGGAACTAAGCTTCAGTACGACTTGATAATAGCTCTTCATAAATGACATTTTCGACACTAGCTTACAACCTATCACTCTTCACTTGTTAGCACTTAGCTCGTCTTTGCCATCTTGCATGGCCTAAACCACTTGGACCATAATACTGCTGGCTATGTTTTTTTTTGAGCTCCATTTAAATTAGTGACTACAATCCATCTTATTGAAGTCTATGTCTTGGTGGGTGCTTGGCGTAAACTGTGAAAGATCTTATTTGCTTGTGCAAAATGAGTAGATCTTATATGCTTGTACATGATGAATAGGTTCTGTAAGAGATAAAAATCGATGATGAATAGGTTCTGTAAGAGATAAAAATCGATGATACCTCTCACTAAAGGTTGAATTTGATATTTTTGGTATAGAATTTTTCTGAACTTGATCTCCCAATCTTCTTGTTCTACAAAACGAACAAACTGTCAAAAATCGAAGTGTTTCGATCGAAGGCACTCCGATACTTAAGTCAGTAATGGAATAAAAATAATTGGTAGAAGATAAGGAGAGTTCAGCGTGGCTTGCACCTTGGCTCCTTTTGATTTTTATAGACCCTGTTCAGTTAGGGTTTCCATGAATTTCGATTCAAGGTGACACACCTTCTTCCAATTAAACGATTCAGTTTGGAAAGCTGCTGAAATTTCTTTGGTAGTTCCCTTGGCTTATAATTAAGCTTATTAGCTTATCTTGCACGCCTGAATTTTTTGCGAATCTTTATCTTTTCGTTTACTGTTTCAAAACAGCTTGGTCATGACGAGGACCGAGCTCTTTCATTACACACCGAACACCTTGACTAGGGCCGAGCTCTTTCATTGCTTGCCGAACGAATTGATTAGTTCGGCTAGGCATGTTTGTCTGATACTGGCCTCACGTGCTTTGCCTTGTCATCGTCATATGGGCTTATTTAATGTCATAACACGTGTAATAATGGGAGCCACTCCCTTCACGTTCTTTTGTTCCTCTTTTATTCCTACATTCCTCTTTTATTCCCACAACAACATTATAGATCTCCTTCACAATCTATGAGTTGAAATATGTGATATATAAGTGGGCAAAAATTCATAATCATGCCTATTATTTGGTACAAGTGCCTCCTTGCGATCATGTTTTCCAGCTCATATGGACTACTAGTTAAAAGGTTTTCACAAGCTCATCAACATTGTCATATTCTTATGGAAGGTGATGACATCATACAAAAAGACTGTTGTTAATTTATGGAAAGGAATATACCTCTTTAAGGGTCTTCATCTCTTCCAATGTTTGACACCCTTTCTACCTCGTCTTATATTCACTTTTAGTGTTCTTGTTCACCACATCCAGGAAATTGAGCATTTTTCTTTTAGTTTGGTGTTGCAAGCAAATAAGTGGTCAATCTTTGTCAAGCAATTTAGGAGAACTATGGTATTTATCTTCGAATTAATTGCACTCCTAATTTAACCCTCTACCCTCAGAACTTCTAATAATTCTATGTGCTTTCCTTCAAGATCCATGTTCATGACATTCTGTCCATGAGCACAAAATGAGAGTTAGATGTTCTGTCTCAAGGAATCATCCCGCCTTTACTTTTTCAAATCTCTTAAGATGTCTTTGATCTCCAATATACATGTTATTTTTTTTTCAGATTCCAAGATTGATGCATTGGTGTGTAAGTTGTAGAAGAGACTTTTCAATTGATGTTAATGATTCCCGTTCTTCTAGAATGGATGAAGAGGACAAAATTTATGTGTATATCGACAATCTTCACTACCTTGTCTCATTTACAAGAATAGAAGGTATTAATGACATTGTCAATTTGTTGTTGGATATCATCTTAATTTTTGTGCAAATCTTCAATCTCTCATCCATGGTGTTTGATCTTGTTGATGAAGTATAAATGCTTAAATTACACTCTCTCCAACAACTTAAGCTTTTAGAGTAGATGATTGTTTAATATGATATCAGAACATGAGGTCCTGGGTTCGAATCTTGTCGTCACTCAAATTATTAAAAATATTTTCATGTGATAGGTCCAAAATCTAGCTGCACATAATGGGGCCTGCTGAAGAAAAAATACTCAAATTACACCCTCTCCAACAGTTTAAGTTTTTGAAGTAGATGGTTGTTTAACAGATTTCATCATGACTTTGAATATTTATATCTTGTGCGGTTTGGTAAACATGGCAAAGAAGATAAATTTTGGCTGCTCTTCTACAAAAGTGATGTCTCCCAGTTGGTTGTCGAGTGACTACAATATAATGTGTACCCAGATGAAACTAAAAATTTTGTAAGATTAGGCTTTTGTTTATAAACTGAAAATCCTGCAAAGTAGGCTTTAGATCCACAGCTGGGCCTCAAAGTTCAGTCCAATAAGGAAGAAACGAGGAATGATAGCAATGTAAAGATCTAACTAGACTTCTTCCAAAACTCTGCAGCCCTCTTTGTGAAACTTGATTCCCCATCTCTTGCACTCAAAAGTTGATTTTCCATCTTGATTGCATCAATATGAAAATACCTTGTGCTGTTAAGGAGCTTTAAAAAATGGTAGGAAATGAGGGGATATCATTAAGGAGTCCTCCAAAGAAACATAATGAAGGCTAAAAAGAAAACCAAAACAATTTGAAACCAACATTTACAATAAGAAGACAAAAAGGCAAACGGCTCCACTAATTGTGTAAGAACACCTCATTGGCAGTAGATCAAAGACATCTAATTATCACTTAGTTCATGTATACTGGGGAACTGGGGAATCTGACGTTTAGACATATAATCACATTCAACATGCACATAATGCTGCCTAGCATATAAGCTCGAATGAAATGTTGTTGTCTAACTGGTACATTGCATTGACATGGGTAGAGGGTACATACGTTCTTTTATTAAAAAAAAATTTGGCAGTATTTATTGATTGCACATATTCATGTTTCTTCAATTCCTTCGGAACTTTTTCTTCAACCTCTATAGATGTTGAACTAGAATAGTGAAAGTTCCTCCTTTTGGTATATTTGGCTGATGACATTTTCTGTCAGGTTTTTAACTCTTTCATTACTAAACATTTCTAAAAAATCTGGCATAGTATACCTCAATTTCATTTTGGACAGCTTATTTATAAAACATTACACGAACTTGTGGTCATTTATATTTTGCTAGCAATGCACCACGTGCAACGCGCGTGAATAGTTTTTATATACAAAAATTAATAAAACATATTAAGTATATGTGTATTTGAATTAAATATCATTTCAAATTTAACAAACTTAATTTTTCATTGCTCATATTCTATTATATTCTAACTATTAAAAGAAAGATAAAGAAGAAGAAATAGTTAAAGTTATATTTTTTTAGAATTTTGTGATTGAGATTAATTTTTTAGTGATGTTTGGGAAATTAAATTTTTTGAAATTCATTTGATTAAGATTCTACTTATAATTCTTTGAATAAAATAAAAGTAATTATCAATATATATCTTAATTACATTGGAACTTTATTATAATTAGGAATTAGTTAAGGTCAATTGGGATAAGATTTAATATACAACTCTATAATATATATTATTAAGCATATTAAAATTCTAAAAAATTCAAGTTTTATTGAAAAATATACTACAATATCTATTTTTACATTAAATCTTAGTACAACTTAAAAAGTTAATTGTGATTGAAGAATTAAACTGATGTAACATAAATTGATTTTAAAAAATTATATATACTATTATATTTTATCTTACAAATGAAAGAGTTAAACTTTTCGATGAAAAAGAAAATATATATATATATATGTAAGCATAATGTTATCTTTGCATATAGATAAGAAATATTATATTGATAGAGTTTTTGAAGATTTTTTGAATACTTTATTGAAAATATGATGATGCATATTTTTTTTAAGGCAATAATCAAAAACTTTTATAAAAACTGATATTTATACATAGGGAATAGATAATTAAAAGAGATATTATAAATAATTTGAAGATTTAAATACATAAGGATATGATAGTAATTTAGATATTTAATTGTGAAAGGATAGAGTAGTCTTTACAATCCTTTATAAGGGTAAAATAGAGATCAAAAGTTTCTCATCTTAAGGTATTAAGATACTTTTATTAGTAGTATAGATGAAGCATAAATGGTGGTTTTCTAAAATCCAGCATGCATATGGTATCCCAATGTTGTCGTGCACAGAAGCTTTAGGATGATTTTGTTATCTAATAATTGACATTTAATATTGCATGCATATTAATTGTATGATACATTACACTTTTCTTCTTTTGTTTTCTTTTTCTTTTTGCTTAGTTGTTTTCATTATTTTTGAATCTATGACTTTTTCAAATTACATATTAGCAATTTATAATTTAATTTTCATGTAAGTGCTTGCATTTTGTATCTGCCACTATTCAATACTATGTAACTAGCTAATGAAAAATGTATTAGTAGATAGATTAATGCGTTCAGCGAGCTTACTAGTGTAAACCAGTGCAAACAAATGAATAAACCCTTACTTCTGCAAGGTTGGACAAATTTTGACTTTAGCAAGGTATGCTCAAACAGTGATTTGACAAATGAACAGACCCTTACTTCTGCAAGGTTGGACAAATTCTAACTTTAGCAAGGTATGCTCAAATAAAGATTCAAAATTCGGGGAACATAGGCTAGAGTTATTGTTTTGAATGAGCTATTGTATCTTGGAAGACCTAGTTATTTATCCCAAATGTTATTGTTAAATTTTAGGTCCTTTTTTGTTGTATGGCTAGTTTTCTTTGCTTTCTCTTTCTCTCTCTCTCTCCCCTTTAGTTTTTGCACCAAATAACCCTGACTTGCAGATGGTAGATTGGTAGTCCAACTTCCCACATATTCTGCCAAATGATTAAGTTGAATGAAGCTCGGTTTGCAATGAGTCCTAGCAAAGGAGTGGAGTCCTTCTATTGACCGCAAAATGAGTTTTTATTCAGATCCCTTCTCAACGTCAACTTGTTGCTTGAAAACATTTTATGAATGTGACATCCGAATACAAAGTTAAGGTTGATCAAAATTAGAAGCTCAATCTTGTTAACTGGTGTCTCAAACTGAAAGAGATGACAAATACTAAGGATTATCGTGTCGCGGAGAATAGAACATCATAATTAGTGTGGGGAGCATGAAATTCCGACTGGAAAACATATATCACATTTGTGAATGTGACATCCGGGCACGAAGTTAAGATTGGTTAAAATTAAAACATGAAATTAAGTTTCATAGCAAAAGGAAAGGGATTGCGGACAGTTAGTTTAGTATTGTAAGGTTAGTAGGCTAAGCCTGAACTATGTAAGCCGTATGACAAGGCCTAAACAAGCGGCCCATCTTGTATAAATTGTTCAGGATGTGTAATGTGCTTATTGAAGTATGTTCATGTATTGCAAATATATGAACCTACTTAGCTGTGTTATAGTGTTATATTTTTTGTTGTTTCTTCATTTTGTGATTAGTTATAAAGTCGTGATACACTAAATTTTAGTTTTGAACTATGAGAGCCTTCAAATTATGTACATTGGGCACCATGTTCTTTCAGCCACTGAATGGACTAAGCTTAAAATCCTCTGAGTTGAGCTCAAGCTGCGCAAAATCCCACCATTTTGAACCTAAGCTGAAGTAGGCTCTGGATGCTACGAGGCATGGTGCCTTGGGTGAAAACATATGGATGCCTCTGGATGGTAATTACCTATTCTTGTAGTCAAGTCCTGAAGTGTGTGCTCTCAGATGTCATGGTCTTCTGAACTAATTTCAATTGTTACCTGGCTAAGGGTTGCTAAACGGTAACAAAATTGGTCATCTAAGCTGGATCATTTCTTATTCAGCTAGGAGTTGCTTCCAGTTTTTCCTAGTGATAAGATTTCTGAACCTGTTCATTTTACCATTGCGTACAGCAGCTGATTGTGCATTGTAACTTGCAGTAAAGTTGAGGTCTCTTAAACTGAGACAAGACTCTAAAGAAAGGGGTGCTTTTTTTGTGGCATTTAAGAGCAAGGAGGTTGAAAGTGCTAAATCTACAAAAGCACCCCTGAAGTTTGCAAAGGCAATATCTGTCCATGCTTTATCCCCAAACAAGTTCCTGGTCTTAAGCTCAGACGGAGATCTGCATCTCTTGTCCCTGGCCAATCCTGTCCATGGATCGGAAATTCCTTGCCACCTGATGCAATTGACTTGCACCATGAAGGTTCAAAAGTTGACAGTTTTCTCTGACATCTCAATTGGTATGGTGCCTCTGTTTCTTTCTTTTCATTTTTCACTGATGCATTCATTTGGATTTTGCATGTGTCTTAAGATCTTGTAAAAATTTCCAAAGGACTTTGTTGTTCGTGGTGAAATGTATATCAGTAATAGTATCTCATTTACTTTCTTAAATTATTTGCTACTTGATGTTTGGTTTGTAAAAGAACCATTGATTTCCTGCTCATGATATTGCTGTCCTCTACTAAAATGCAGTTGCCATCAATTTGCAGGAGCACATACAGTTTGGATTTCGGATGGACACTATACAGTACATCTGATGGTGATATCTGATTCGGATACTTCTGCTAGTGAAAGTGATAAAAAAGACACTGAGGAAAAGCTAATGCAAATCTCAGGTTTTTGTGAAGTTTTTAGGACATCTATCTCGTTAACTTTTGGATGGAAGAAGCAAATTCTTCACTTTTCCTACACTTTGTGGGGTTTCATTTAGCTGGATCATTTCTGCATCATGAAAAAGTTGTTAGTTGAGCAACTCGTTTCAACCATCATTTTTCATTCATGCAATCTCACACTTCAGAATCTTCTTTTTTAGAAATTACATATGTGATTGCATATAGCTTCTAGATTGCATTCTATGATGTGCAGATTTTTGCATATTAATCGTCTAAAAACTTGAAGGCCTTTTGGGAGACCTTTTTGGTAAATGTCTTTTGATCTTGTAGTCGCATGCTGTGAATGTGTTATTTAAGTATTGGAATTTAGTTTCTAGAAGGCTGAGAAAAACATGTCTGATTCTTCTGCAAATATAAGCTGTGTCTGCCAATGAAAAAACTCAGTTTGATATACATCAGATTGCCAATGTATTTTCAGTTTTTTGATATAACCTGATTAATTTCTCTTTCTTTTTTGCAAAAATCTTATTTTATTGAATTGCATTGAGCTGGAGTTTTTTAAAAGTCAATTGTACAAAATCAATTTTCTTTATCCAGGAAACTAGTTAGCAAAAAACTCTCCTTAAATTGCATACAGTTATTAATTATGGTCATATATATGGAAAGGTTATGGTTTGGCTCTCTCTTATGCATTTAAACAATTTCTGATTTGTTTTCTAGTCAATCAAGCAATATTTGCCAGTGAAAAGATTCAAGAAGTTCTTCCAATGGCTGAGAATGCAATATTGATTCTTGGACAAGGTATGATGTGGTTATAAGTAGTATGGTATACATAGTGGGAGAATAAATCGAATGAACTTACTGCTATAATATCTTATATAAACTATTTAAACTTTTGATTGTTGTATATTTAATTTTGCATGCAACCTTGTCTCAAATGGACCCCATGATATATATGTTCAACCAAATAGAGCTTGCGAACTTTGACCAATTTAACTTCGTGCTCGGATGTCGCATTCGCAAATGTGATATATGTTTTCCAAGCATAATTTCATTCTCCACGTGCTCATTATGGTGTTCTATGGTCGGCGATATGATAATCTTTAGTATTTGTCACCTGAAACATGTGATATATACATTGAATGAATATGGTGCTACAATATCTTATAGAAGCTATTTAAACTGTTGATTGTTGTAGTACATTTAATTTTCCGTGCAAACTTGTTTCAAATGGATCCATGACAGTTTAATTTTCACATGATAAAATTTATGAACCTGAATAAAAATATTTCTGGTGCTGCTTTACTTTTTTTGCAACGTGAATTTATAACAGTCCTCCTTTCTTGTTCGGTTGGCAGAGGATCTGGCCAACCCTGCCCAAATGTTCAAAATTATAGAGATGTTTTGTGTTGAAAATATATCAAGCTGTTCTCCTTGAATTTTTTTGTTTTTTGTCATTATGTTCTTTCTTTGACAAAATTTATCCCCGTTCTGCAGGAAGCATATTTACTTATGCAATTTCCTAGTGGTGCTCAGCGGTTAATCTCTGGAATGGTGAATCTTATTCCTCTTTTGTTAACGATTGATGTTTGAGCAATTTTCTTATAATTCTGTCAGATTAACTACCCTTTGCAGTTCAGCATCCATGGTTAGGTGTTGCAGCTTGGAAAGTTTGAATGTTGCTTTGTTGTTTCATTCCAAACATTTCCTTGATGCATTATTTTGTTTTTGCAGCACTTTTGGACTTATTACCAAGCTGTTTATTTGATATGTATTTATGTTGTGGAAGAGGATAGATGGTTTATGCCAGTTAATTGGGTTTCCTGGATCATTCTCTTGGCTAAAAAGTAGGAGGTTTTTCTTTTCTTTCTTTTTTTTTTCTTTTTTTGATAAAGCAATGTATCATTCTGTTCATGTTGTTGGATGTTACTAATCTTCATTGATACAGTTTTGAATCTTGCTGATTTTGTCTTGTATTTCAGCTGGATGTCATGTGTTCTCTTTGATTCTTATGCTGCTTGTCATTGTGTCACTGAAGTCTTGAGCTGCAGTCATCGATCATGTCATATGGTGCATATCACTGAGAGGACACGTTGCTCTTTAAGGTAAGTATGATGAAAAGTCTGCAAAATATTGTTGAAAGAACCTAGATGTTCAATGTTTGAACCTAGATGTTCAATGTTTGAACAAATGACAAGGCATAAACCTGTACGTCTTGTCTTGTGTTGAAGTACCCTTGGTTACATACAGCCCAGGTTTAACCAATTCATGTAGTTTGTGGATGATTGTGTGCATCTAAGGGCTTGCATGATTGAGCGAGTCCTGTTAGTCAAAAATTTTTGTTAAAATTAAATTAAAAGAGGAGATATCCTACGGAGCGGAATAATAGGCATATGGAAATTCAAACATGTATATGAATATAGCCCCTCTAATCTGCACAATTTCCATGGATGTACTTCAGCTGTTGTTGAAAGGATTCTGCTCCTGTAGTTGCAAACTTTAGGGTGTGAATATGAATTTTCTTCATACATTACATTCCTTTTTTACAATCCATAACATTTGAAGGCTCTACCTAATTTAAATTTGTTCATGTTGATGTTACATGTGATCTTAAGAAAGACCCACACAATAATTCACTTTAGTCCTGTGATAGCCTTATTGGTAATTGAAAGACTGCACTTATATTAGAAAAGAAGTTTGCATGCCTTCCTCTAAAAGCTTCCCTGATTTGTGTTAGTGGTGCATGGTAATTTATTTGCACCCGGATTTGAAAATTATTCGATCTTATAAAGCTGAGTTTTTGTCTGAAGGTATAAGATATCAAGAAACCAGTTGGGTGCCTGTTGCTTGAGTTATGAATCCCGGGCAAAGATCAAGTCTTTCAACAACTCAAGCCACCTCTGCTCAATGACATGCTTCCATAAACTGCAAGACAAAGTACTCTGAATGCAAATCTGTTGGCTGTTGTTTTGGCAGTTCATCGGTTACATCGCCATTCAGTGCTTGCATTATTTGTTCAAATCAGCATCCCCCATAAGGTCCCATGGTGGGGGGTTGCTTTTGCGAGGTGGCAGTTAAGCTATCCCTAAATAAGATTGCGATGCATCCTATTAAATGGTTATGCTGCGGGTTTGAAGGAGAGGAGTTGCTTTGTGTGCTTGTTGAACTATGTAACTCACTGATACAGGACCTGATTTTTAGTTTTATTTGGGGATAACATTGTTGTATTATCTAGCAGTATAATCTCTTTAACCTCTGGTAACTGACATCATGGGAATATTGGTTGTCATGCCGCTATTTCTCAGAGATTAGGTTCCTAGAATTACGTAAAAATGGTGGTCCTAAATAAATGCCCAGAAAGTGGGGGCCGAGTCACCTGGAAAATTGCTTTTTGGTATGAGAATGTGGGTGGGTAGGCGCATAGCCGCATACCCTCCATCGGACCCCACTACAATGTATAACTTGGACTAGTGAATTTTATTAAATTTTAGTCATTTATAAATACTATTTAGGATTAATAGGGATTACTTGTTTCATTCTTTTGTGTATTATTAGTTGACGACATTATAGAATAATAATGATGCGATGGAATTATTATTACATTAAATATTTACTTGTGAGGTGAGGGTGAAGGGGAGAGAGAGAGAGTGTGTTTGTGCGCTAGTAGGGCGTGTATGGTTAGAAGGTTTGGTCGTTGGGTGGACGGACGAGGTGGCCTATGAGCCAACCTCCATATCAATGCCGTAGGATTGGGTTCAACCCCCATCTCACCCGTCAAAAGAGAAAGTTAAGAAGATTTCTTATATATTCTCTAGGCCCACCGGATACGGCATTACATTACACTCTATACATCATAAAATAGCTATAATGTGATCCGCAAACTAATTTTTTTATTATTTCAATAAAATTTATATTGCGTGTAGCAAGATTTGATGGGAACAGTAAAATTAGTGTGAGATTCACATTGCAATCATTTTATAATATTGACAGTGTAATGTAGAATAATTAATTTTTAGAGTAGAAGTAAAATTTTTTAAAATCTTTCGACAAGCAAAATGCAATAATTTTTGTTTGTTTTTTCGTTTCTGAACTGATGCAAAATGCGATTCATCCCAAAGGAATTTCATAATATTGCCACAGTTTCAAGACCGAGTAGATTGTACACCTGAATGTGTCAGTCGTACTTAATTTTTCAGTCTTATACAGAGTGATGGACCTGACTACGGCGCACTGGAAAAAAAAATTTGGTACCATATTTTTAATTTTTAATATTTTAATCAATATTTTTATAATTTTTGTAAATTATTTTATAATTAAAAAACTTAATACTTTTATGAGTGATTTACCACTGTTGCGAGTATTTTTATCATTTTTTTTAGTACAAAAAAATTATCATTTTTGTGGACAATTTATAACTTTTGTGGGTTTTTTACACCACATTTGTGAATATTTTTATTATTGTTGTGATAAATATTTTAATTATTTTCTTAGGTATCATAACAGTGACAAAAACACTCACAAATGTAATAAAAACAACTACAAATATAATAAAATGAGGTATGTTATTACAAAATATATATATATACACCATTGTCATCTATCAGAATGATGGGTCTTAGTCCATATTGCAAGCAATCCTAAACCCAAAAGATCGGTGCAATATAAATTTTTAGGTTTACTTACATTAAAAAAAATTAATAATTTTTTAAGTTATGTTACAATTTTTATGAATTTTTTTTTACGCAAATATTATGATTTAAGTTATAATTTTTTAGAAATTATTTAAAACTTCTAAGATTATCCCAAAAATAACCCCAAAAGATTGATCCCAAATAACCTTAAATTGTAAATGGCCTCCGAAAATTAAAAATAATCTCCACAATTTTTTTTCCCGGCACCATAGTCTTCTCCTTAACATAGGGAGAATGATCAATCAAGTTTTTAAAGCAAAATGCATATCGTTTGAGTTTTGATCATTTTTTTTGATTTTCATTAGGAGACAATGCAGCTGAGTTGAAATGCTAGAAATTGCAAGCTTATATCGACTTTGATGATACACTAAATTACACCTCAACAGAATTCGTTGCAGCTCAAAGTTCTCGAGCTGCGTAAGACCGACCTAAATAAGCCTCTTCCCAAGTCACCAAGCAACATCCGAGCAGCTCGGCTGCAGTCAATTCAACTCGGATTCCATCAATATAGGAAGGAGAGAAGGTCAACAAACCCATTATGTTTTGGACAACAAGCTACCACTTCAAATATGTCATATCACAACTTTTAGAAAATCTCGTGTCCTATGAATATGATTGTCTTAGCCAAATATTTAAAATGATTCCAACTAATTTTTTTTTTTTGGGGGTGCGGGGGAAGGATATGCAATCTTGAATAAAGACAAAAAAGCTTAGTCTTATATAAATAGAATAGGATGCCCTACAAAAAAGGGATCGAATCCTCTGAAAACACTCTTCTTCTTCTTCTTCATCAGTATTGAAAATAGACACCAAAAAAAGAGACTTCATTGACAGTGGATTAGCTTAGAAAAAGTTTTAACCGGGCCATTTTCAGAATTATCTTACAAAGTACCACATACTTTCTCAAATTATTTGATATGCAAATACGGGTTTTCGGACTTCAAACCATGAAATTGTGGCAAAAGCTGTATTGTTCCTGCCTTAATGTTGAAATTTGGAGCATTAGTGGAAAAAGCAAAACATGACGGGACACTAGTGCATGTGGGATACAAATATTCTCTTAAAGGTTGGACATTCTTAACTATCTCTTGTTCCCGTTGATTATTACGAGTTATGCTTAACTCAAATGATGCTTGTGTCAATGAAGATGATGGAAATGAAGGATTAGACTGATTTACAGACCCCACTGATGACTTAACAAAGATAAAGAATGCAAATGTAACAACACAGTCATTATACATATAAAACAAATTAGACAACTTCTCTATTTGTTTTGAAATCACCATACCTCTCCGACAATGGTGCCAAAAAGCTTGATCTAACCTAATCAGTGTCTTACACTCAAGTATGAGTGGTCAAATTATCATATATTTCTCGGTTTAAGTCCGAGGTCAAACCACAAGGAGCTAAATATTGGGATTTAAAATAGAAACGGTGAAATTGTCATGTATACAAAATGCAATGGAATAGCTTGTGGTGTGAGCTTAGAACAATTAAATAAACACTTAATTAAAACTGTGGAAATATAATAATAAAAAGAACCCTTTAGTTCGAGGATCCAACATGAAGTATATTGTTTAGGTATTGGAAATTCCACCTTACAACAAATTAACTCCCATTTACTGGAAAGTAAACTAGTAGGTTTGATGTATATTAAACCATAACACAATAATTGAGTAGGTTAGTCGGAACGTCTCTGTACCATGCATCAATAAAATAACCCTAGTAAACCAATTATTCAATCGATAGGTTGATGATTAAGTGATGACAGAATTTTAATTTATGCATTGAATCAAAAGCATTGGCTATGGCAAGACTTAACCCGTCTTTAACCATTCTCCCAACTGATACATAAAGTCCAACTACATACATCACTATATCATATATGAAGTACGTAATAGATATAAATAGTATGATATAAAGTATTAAGTACCGTTCCGTGTTCATAACCATGAGCATATTATAAATGTAACCATCCATCAATTAAGGTAGGTATATAACATTAAAACATAATTAAAATATCGACATTTTCATAACTTAACCAATATTATACATGTGTTCACCCTTCACCGAAGGGTATAAATGGACTACTCACGCCTTATTACTATAGACGAGCGAAAAGAGTGAGATAACCACATTACAAACAAAACAAAATACAAAACAAATCCTTCCCTGATGAATAGCTGAAACACTACCACTCTTATTACTGGTTAGGGCACAAAAGTTGGAGAGGTTTAACCCTCCAAGTAAAAAGGATAAACACAAATGTAGAAGTAAAATGAATTTTGGCTGGAAAATGATTCTGGCAGGGCCTCGCTCCACTGTTTCTCTCGTTCTCACTGTCTAGACTGACTCTCTGGCGAAGCTCTAACGAATCTTGACCAACCTCTCTGAACTCCTCTGGAACTAAATCTAAACAAGGTTAGTTATAGGCACTCAAGACTGCAGAAGCAATCAGAGGCCTTTGTTGCATCATAGGACCAATAGGAGAAGGAGAGAGAGTTAGTTTAACTACCGTCTGGACACCACCACCACTGTCCGGACGGTGAGGATTCTCTGGATTTGCAACCATGGCAACCTCCTTGCTTTGATGTTCTAATGTTGTAATTACACTTGCCTCTCCTACTTGATTTAGCTGGTGCATTTTTATCCTTTTGATTTTACATAATTTCGCACAAAACTTGCAAAATATCAAATCTCTATATTAACCCTAATTTCACATAACTTGGTGATTTTAAACTAATTCACACACACATTTAACCTAAAATCCTAATTCATTAACACATTATTTAGGGTTAATCAAAAACCATGCTCTTCATCTTGGATAAATCAGACTATCTCTCCAAGAGGAAGGTCGGATCGAAACCCTATAAAAGAATTAAAATCCACGGTTAGATGAAAGACATCGAGAAGGTAAGTCCTAAGAATGGACATAATTTACAAGCATTAAAAGAAGCATCCCAAAGGTGGGGACTTGGAGCTCGGATCATTCCTGAACTCCCACTTGTGTCCTAAGATGAAAAAGAAAACATCTTTCCACCGTTTATGAGAAGTAGATAAATTGGTTACTAAGGCTTTGGTCTTAAATCTCTTGGCGAAGTAAAGAAAGCCCAGGGTCGGAGAAGACTTCAACTAGAAGACATGGACAAGCTCTACGGTGGTTGGGGGAGACAAAATACTACTTTCTCGCCAATGGACAAGTAAACCCACCAAGAGTCCCCGACCATTAGGAGATACTTTAGCAGGACACGTAAT